AGGTAGGAGTTGAAGGATTGTGATCTGAAGGTGGCTAATTCCAGTTTTAATTGGAAAACACGTGATAATGTTAGTTTTCTGAAATTATTATTTCTATTTTTTTTCGCCACTCTTCGCTACCTTCTACAATCTTCTATGTCAAATATTGTTATATATTTACGCATACCTTTTGACTACTATTTCCGGATATTCATTTTCGTCCTGGATATGTACTTTTATTTTTTCTCTCATATTCAATTATCAAATATATTATAAGTTATATTTAGCACTTTTTCATAACTCTTAACAATGAGAAATGGTTATTATTTATAACAAACCAAATTAAAGATACTTTAAAGGAAGACATGATATTGTTGAGATTCCACAAAGGGAAAATTCATCAAATTATTCACTAATTTAATTTTCTAAAAAGTTACATGACAATTTTTCGTAATAAATGGCCGTTGATACCTAATTATTTAAATATAATATCACATCTAAACAACATTGTTTTTTCTAAAATTCTCCGCTTCCCAACGATGCATTATACGTATCCTTCTGACTGGTATTTCTGGAGATTCATTTTCGACCTGGATAAGCATTTTTATTTTTTTCTCCTTTATTCAATTACCAAATTCTTTCAAAAGTTCAAATATTGTCCAAACCATTTTTTTGTTAATCTGAATAATTTGAGATCATTATTTTTTTTAAATAAACCATATTAAAAGTACTTTAGAGGAAGCCGTCTTTGAACATTGTGTATTTAAGCCCTGTAGAGTGACTTCAATAGGGATAAGACCTGGTTGATATTAAAGGCCACTTAATTATACAATGATACACCGGGTTTAATCAAAATCGTTATAGCCGTTTTTGAGAAAATTATAAAAATGTGTTTCAGCGTTGATATAAAGTGGCACTTCCGGATTTTAAAGGAAAAGTTGCCGTCACATCTAAGGTATATACCTATCTTAAATACGTAATATCAGTTTCGTACGACTTTTTGTTTTTGAGCTAGACTGCTAACAAACATACACACAGACCATTTTTCGGGACTTGGTTATTTGGACCCAGGGTACCTCAAAACGTGTATTTCCGTTGAAAACTCAGACTCAAAAATTTTCACGATTGCAGTACTTACACTTGTGAAAATAAAAATCTCTCAGGCTGAACAAATCCTGGATCCACTACTTGTCGCTATTGAATATTTAGAGACTTAAATTTCCGTTTTTCTTTCGTAATTATAATCTGAATAAATACTGGTACTATAATTATTTGTCTACCATTGTGGTTACTATATTGTTTGGTTATTATAAAAATTTGGTCCTTAAAATTTTTACTAGTTTAAATAAATCCGTCGAAAACTCAGATTCAAAAATTTTCTCGATCGCAATACTTACACTTACTATATATTACATATATACGTAAGTGAAAGTAAAAACATGGTATCCAGGACTAAAAATCGAATTGACACTTTAAATAAAAGTGGCTACTACTTGGGTACAACATGTTCGTGTTCTGCCGTTAATATCCGGCAGGCGAGAAGAAAACTGAAAAGCAAAATCAAAGAACACCTCCCTGGCTGGCCTGAGCCATGCAACACATTTTAAAGATAATTTTTTAAATTTGTAAATAACCTACAGGAAGTTAAATGAAAAATAAAGATGTTTTGGTGGGAATAGCGAATAGGCTTCCGGGGATATCGGGGATTAAGGTTATTTACACTCGTGAATTATTAAAACAAAACCCCGGCACTGGATATCGACTTTTTGAGGGTGTTTAACTGTGATTGGGAATTCGGGAATCTAATACCTTTTATGACACTGTGTGAGAAGAAACAATAAGAATACATATATGAAATGTGGAACCTAGTAAACACTGAATGAATTGACTCACCTGGTTAATTCTTCAATTGTGAGGCATATAGGACAACTAAATAAAATGACTTTCACTCCTGTATAATAAAACAATTTATTTTGACAACTGTAATAAATGAATGTATAAAAGTCTTATAACTGTAGGCTTTATATTCTTAGTCTTCAATGTAGTAGGCCTCTCTTCCCAGATGACTTCCTCTCGCTTCCGTCCGGTTGCCTCAAGTGTTTGGCGTCCTCTTCCCCATCTGTTGCCAGCTACCTGATCGGACCTTTTCTTCTTTTCGATTGTTTATCGATGTATGATTTTCCAATGAGCAATTTGTCCACTGCACAATTGAGTACATTTCACAGTGCAACCTCACATTCCTATATATTATATATTCCTTCTCATTCCCTTATAAAATGTCGTCTAAAGGAATAAATACAGGGGGATGTCTACTACAAATTGTTCACACCCACAAAAAAGTAATAAGATAAAACTGTTACATACCATTTCAAAAAGGAAAAAGAATGGACTTTTTTGAAAAATTAGAAATTAAGAAAAAAATTACGGTATATAACTGAATGTGCACAGTACTCAATTTGAGGATTCTGCATTCATATAATTAGTGGCTGCTAATGAGAACAAGAAGTGGGGGTAAGGATAGCCCATCTGGCCAATAGTTTTGTTTTTATTTTTAGTCCTCATTCGACAAGCAGGAGAGGACGACCAAGATAAATTAGTTGATTATAATTTTCATTAAACAATTTATTAGGACTAGTAGGCCCGTGCGAAAAATTCGTACAGCATATTGTAATCAAATGCCAAATTAATAAGAAAATAAAATAATGCAATGTATCAAAAGATAAATAAATCAATTGTTACTTTATCGATAAATACAATCGACATAGGAAACAGAATTTATTTAAATCTTCATTTTTGTTTGGAACCAACATATTTACAAATTTCAATAAGCTGTATCTTTGATAAAAATTGTCGGATTTCAATGATTTTTTTTCCTTTTGTAGATAATTTAGTAATGTTTTTATTAAATCATGGGAATAGCCAAGGGGAAAGGTGTGTAGCTTTTTAGTTATTCGCAAATAAAGTTTCTTTTCTTTCATAACTCGTTTGCCTGAATTTTCTGGGTGATTGGACTATTTTGCCAGCCTGAAGGAGAAGGAAGCCTTCGAAATTGGTCGCTCAATCTTGAGATTTGGTGAAGAATTAACGATGATATGGCTTGCCGATCAAAAACACCATCGATAAATAATATAAACTCCTCCTCTCTCGATCATAGAGACCTCAAGTCGACGAAATGAGACATGTATCCAATGCCAGTACTACAATTAACGTCAGGTTGCGTGGATGCGAACCCTTTTCCTTGCGTTATCTCGAAAATAGTACGTTTACCCGGAGGAACTATCCGGGTCTTGCTGTACGCATCAAAATCTTCTAGATCCAATTTGTCCCGTATCGATCTACTGACCTACCACCGTTCCAGTATTGAAGTCTAGCAAAATGTTTGTATCGACTTTATTTATTTTAGAAAGAAAAACAAAAGCGGAGAATACGATTCGCTAACCCCCCGTGAAATTCTGAATCCAACGGTACCCCATTCATGGTATTTGAGCATGACAGCTTGTATTTGGTACAAAACCGATTTCGAGCCTTACTGTAATAATATATGTGGGGATGGGGATTGGATTTTAAATTGTTAAATTTTAATAGTTTTTCGCCACTAGACCTGTTTCGCCTGCCAGTCTACCAACTGGTTTCTGCAGTGCCCGATACCATGCCCCGATGAAGACCTACAAAGTGGTTCGAAACGTCGGCTTAAACAATAAAATACTATTTTGATATATAGTATTCATTTGACTTCACCCCCGACTAACTCCTTCACATGTTAAATTTGAATTTAGGTTTTTTATTATTTGATTGCTTTGCAAAAATTTTTTATTGTTTTATTATTTTACCAGCCTGATGAAGGTCTGATAAAAGACCGAGAGAAAAATAAATAATTATACAGGAAAACAATGTCTTTTTTTTTTAAATTATAATTATTTTTATAAACAAGAAGAAGATTTTATTGTTTAACTAGCTTTACCAGGCCAGGCGCTGCAGTGGCTTAGCCTGGCAAAATGAAAAAGAAAGAAAATAGAAAGCACATATGAGTAGATTAGTAGCAAAGGACATCTGTCATTTTAAAAAGTTGGGAAACAAATTTGTCTGTAAAATGGCTTTAATTTAAACTAATTCTAATTATTTTTTTTTTCATGATTCAAAGTGAACATTCATAACCATCTGAGTGAATACGCCGTCATTCATAGTCATCAGAAACAGAATGAGTTGAACTTATAAAACTAAATTGAAAAATTAATAAAAAAAACGTATAATAGTATTGACCTACATAAGGAGAATTTTATAACTTCTTCAAATGATAACTTTAATTACTGCAGTATTTACAAAATTTTCTATTAATCAATAAAAAAATAATTGCCTACCTTCGGTATTGGGGAAGCAAAAGGAAACGGCCTTTTTTGAAGAGAAAACAGTAAATGTAAAAACTCTATAACTCTGCAACGAATTTCGATGATTTTTTTTTTTATTTTGTCGGCAAATCAGGAATCTTTCATATAAATATAGGTATTATCCATAAAAAATTGTGTACTTTTTTAGTTATCGACAAATAGAATATTGAATTCATCGTAACATTTTTCAGCTTGTTTTCAGGAAAGTATGTTATACACATAAATTAAAAGGGTTTCAAAGGGAAGACTTTAGTCAAGTTTCGTTAAAATCGGTAAAGCCGTTTTGGCGCTACAGTTTATAGCTACACATTTTTTTTGAACAGGAAAGCATTTACATTTTTATTTTTTTTTACATATATAAAATTATCGTAAGACAGAAGTACTATGCCAGAAACCTTCCCAGGAGTGTACGGAACAACTTCCCAAAGTTTCATGGCGATCGGATGAATGGTTTAGTAATGCATAGAGGACAAACAGACAGACAGACAGACATACATTCATTTTTATATGTATAGGTTATTAGGCATTCATCATACTTTTAGGTACTGATTTTATTGACTTCATTTATTAACGGAATATTGGTCGTTACAAAATAAAAAGAATTTTATTTTGTATTAGGAGGGTTTAAAAAATCTATCATCTACAAACAACTAAACAAATCATTTTATTGAAAGAAATGAAACTACATTGTATAAAAATCATTTTTATAAATAACTTATTACTCCTATTTGAACAGTCTTTTTTGATAAGGATACATCATATTAACATTTCTTTTTAATATGTTCCAGATGATAGTGAAGTTTTTTAAAACTTCATTTATTTATTTTTATTTCCAAATTAGAAAACATATTTGTACTAAAAATAAGAGTATCACAGATGGTAGGAATTTCAAAGATCCTGATGTTTGTTGGGTTTGTTGGGCTGGTTCAGCATGAGAGAATTCTTCCAGGCGTAAAGCATATTTGATGGCAGTGTTAATGTAAGTCTGCTCATGTATGTGATGGAAGAGATGTGAATGGGGACCTGAAAATAGAAGGTTTTTTATATAAATAAAACATTATATAATTTTATATTAAAATATATCAATTTAATGGTGTCAACTAAAAATATCAAGACATATATACATAATAGTTTGGCTATTTTAAATAGAGTGTGTTCATAATGTTCATATTGAAAGTAATGACAGTTTGGAATCAGATTGTTTTGGGTGGAGTAATGTTTTAGTTGTATTAATAGTTTAAACAGCATATATATTGAGATTATTATTCTGTTTAAATTTTTTTCTTTCTTAATTAAAATAAATCTGTCTTAACCCTTCATGATTTTAAGGATGTTGATATAGAGAGAAATACCTAGTCCTGTCATAAATATTGTTATAAGGAAATATATACAGATTTCAACAGAAAAATTAATTTGTTCGAAAACTACAATAGAAAATAAATTGTATATATATAGAGAGAGTAAAGCAAAAAAGTAATTACTAACAATGCCCCCCTTTTGCCTTGACACAGGCATTTAATCTCCGTGGTCAGTCATCGATAGCAGCACGCAGCACTTTTTGAGGAAAGCGCTCAACTGCTCGGACCAGAGATTGTTTGAGGCTCTCCAAGTTAGGGTGTGCTCTGTGGCATGCCATTCTCTCCAATTTGGAGCAAAGCTATCTAGTGGGTTGAGATCAGGGCTTCCTGAGGGCCAATCAGAGACAGAGATGAACTCTGGAATATTCTTTTGTAGCCATTGCTGAGTTGTCCTGGCCTTGTGAGCTGGAGAGGATGACTTCCAGCAAACAGAGTATCATTTAGAGGCTTGACAACAGGTTCCAAAATATCGTCCTGATAGTTTTTAGAGGCAGTTTTAACACATTTTTTTCGCAAAAATGGAGCTTTGTGGTGCCATCAAACTTCCCAGCAAACCATCACTGATGAAGGGTGATCACCTGTTTCCATTCTTCGAATGACTTACTGGGCTTCTTTAGAGCTATGTGCGTACACACGATCATTTTGGCGTTTAAATTTTTCTTCAATTGTAAAAATTTTCTCATTGCTAAACAAAATTTTTTGATGATAACCCACCAAGGAGCACTTTGCATCTATGCACTCTAATTTTTTTTAGTTAAGTGGTTATTCTTTGCCCTGTCATTCTTCGAAATAACCCATCCTAAGGTCACTTTTTATTATGCGAGACATTTTTCTGACAGAGATTCCCATTTCTCGAGACATGATTTGTTGTTTTCGAATGAGATTTCTTATGATTCGAGCAGCCACTGCTCTCACTGCATTTGCCGTTCTCAAAGTGTTGGAAATCTCTGCCTTGCAACTTTGTTTAAGGCGATCACAGCTATTCGGTTTTCTTTATCATCCCATTCTATACTAACTGAGCTAAAGAAAAATACAAACTAATTGGAATTATTATCCTGACAAGTTTAAAGATTAACCTGATAGAGGTAAGGATTATCTAAATAATACTCAAGGATGTAAACAAAGTTAAACTTTTGTAACAGTATTTATGGCAGGATTAGGTATATTCATGAATGTTTACTCCTACTGCATGTATAGATAAATGAATTCAAGCTGAAACTAATGGCAAGTTAATGACTGAAAATAGTTGTTTTTTCCTAATTAAGTGTGATCGTGTCTTAGCTGAAGAAAATTGAAAGTAAGAATTAAAATAAACTACACTACTTCCTGCAATTTTTAGTAATACAGAACCTGGCTGTTTATCTTGAGGAAATATCAATATAATAAGGTTTTAAAATATATTGAATACTTAGCTCAAAATAAAAATAACCTAGAATTTAGACCACCAGATAAATTTAACTAGAGTAATATTATTATTAATTGCAAGAAATTCAAATTGTTTTTCCAAATTATTGAGGAAAGATAAGTCAGATAAAGAGTTGGCCTCATAAAACACCAACATTTATTTTGACTATTATTATTTTGTTGTTTAATTTATTTTTCTTTATTGTACAAAGAGTGTTAATGAGCTGCTCTATTACTATTGCTAATGTCCATGAGTTTGACAGTAAGTAATATTTCTCAATAAAGAATTACAGAATAATAAAACACTAGAAAAAAAATCCGAGTATATAATGCCTACATTGAATAACATGTCTTCGGCATGTTTTTTAGAATTGATGAAATGAGAGAACCTAGGCTGTATGATTTGGGATTAGTCTATGAAGGAATAAAAAAAAAATTAATCTGTACTGGTAAAGACTTCTAAAGGGTCGAGTGGGATATAAATAAATGGTTACATCATGGACTTTCCGGTTAAAGCCCTCTTCCCCTCCCCCCCGAAATGAGGAAAATATAACCATGTTTTATGTAAAAAAATTATATCTTAAAGTATTATTGTTCGTGTAATTACATTTAATAGGACTTCAGGAATCACTTAAATACCATTTCATATTGGTAGTTAGTTTCTTTCTTTTTTTTCTCAACGTAATTATCGTTATATATATGAAAAACAAAACTCTTTCGGGCTGAAGCCACCCACCCTCCCCAAAAATTAAATCCTACATCCCTTAGTGACCAAAGGTATGATGTTTTCACTGAAAGATCATTGTTCCTGAAACATTAAGTGGACTGTGAGAGATCTTCCTGATTTGCCATCCATTATTTTGGTAGCGGCAAGATTAAATCGAAACAAACAATCCCCATCCCCACATATATTATTACAGTAAGGCTCGAAATCGGTTCTGTACCAAATATAAGCTCCTGTCATGCTCAAATACCACGAATGGGGTACCGTTGGATTCAGAATTTCACGGAGGGCTTCAATACTGAAACGGTGGTAGGTCTGTAGATCGATACGGGATAAATTGGATCTTGAAGATTTTGACGCGTACAGCAAGACCCGGATAGTTCCTCCGGGTAAACGTACTATTTTCGAGATAACGCAAGGCATAAGGTTCTCATCCATCGCTACATTAATTGTAGTACTGTCATTGTATACATGTCTCATTTCGTCGACTTGAGGTCTCTATGATCGAGAGAGGAGGAGTTTATATTATTTATCGCTGGTGTTTTTGATCGGCAAGCCATATCATCGTTAATTTTTCACCAAATCTCAAGATTGAGCCACCAATTTCGAAGGCTTCCTTCTCCTTCAGGCGGGACAAAATAGTCTTATCACCCCGAAAATTCAGGCAAACAAGTTATGAAAGAAAACAAACTTTATTTGCGAATGACTAAACAATTACACACTTTTTCCTAGGTTATACCCATGATTATATAAAAGATTACTAAATTCCCTACAAAATGAAAAAAAAATCATCGAAATCGGGCAATTTTTAGCTAAGATACAGCTTATTGAAATTTGTAAACATGTTTGTTCCAAACAGAAATGAAGATTTAAATTCATTTTAATTTCCTTTGTCGATTATATTTATCGATAAAGTAACAATTGATTTCTTTATCTTTTGATACGTTGCATTATTTCATTTTCTTATTAATTTGGCTTTTGATAACAATATGCTGTGCTAATTTTTCGCACGGGCCTACTAGTGAGAAAATAATCGAATAGAAATAGAAGCCATAAATTAATGAAATAGAGGTCTAGAAGGTCCTGAAATTTTATTATTTCCATATTTCGAGGGGTTGTCAGATATCGATATACTGTAATCAACTGGTGCTTTTACAGTAATATTATTTCTATTATTGAAAACAAATAATCGATTACCTGTAGCGTAGACGAAGACGTCGCTTCCTCCGTGGCTATTCTGATTATCCAATATGGCGGCAGGAACATCGTAATCATAAGATGTCGTATCTACCAAAGATGGATCTTCACGTTCAACTTGTCCATTCACAACTTTGTAATGGAAGTTTCCTCTTTTGGCGTTGACGTAATTCAGAGTGGTGAATGGAATATTATCAATCCTTGATTTACTTGCAACACCTAATAATTATTTTCAATATTATTTATAACACAATGAAGATGAATTATAAAAATCTGGTGCGGTGAGCGCATCATACAACTTTCACTTACCACCTTTTTTTGTAAGCTGAAATCGGTATTTTCAGATTAAGGGAAGTAAAAGTAAACAATTAAGGAAGGTACAAATTATAATTCAAAAGAATTACTAACCATATCGCTACTGTTAGTGCAAAAGGTCGTACGTAACTATTTTTTATTTTAATTCTATTTGTGTCAAAGGTGACATTTTGTTGTCTGCAACTGATATAAGTAGTCTGCTACTATGGAAAATAGCAGAGGGAAATAAAATATGAAATTATACTAATAATTCACAAAGAAATAATCAGTTTTTATTCTCTCTTGTAAAAAAAAAACTCAGTTTTCACGTACGACCTTTCGGACTTACAGTAACCATATTTTTTTCATAGCCGTCTGATATACTATATTTATGATTTTTCTGTACTTCACTAACCAATTCCTTTTTGGACTGTATATATAAACTTTTTACGTTCACTTACCTACATATATATAGTAACTGTAAGCATTACGATCGAGAAAATTTTTGAATATGAGTTTTCAACGGAAATACACGTTTTTAGGGTACCCTGAGTCCAAATAACCAAGTCCCAAAAAATGGTCTGTGTGACTGTGTGTATGTGAACACTAGCTCGAAATAGAAAAGTCGTTCGAAACTGATATTACGTATTTCAGATAGATATATGCCTTAGATGTCCTGGTAACTTTTTCCTTAAAATCGACTAACCAAAAGTGCCACTATATATCAACGCTGAAACACATTTTTACAATTTTCTCAAAAACGGCTCTAACGATTTTGATTAAACTCTGTGTATCATTGTATAATTAAGTGGCCTTTAATATCATTTAGGTCTTATCCCCGTTGATGTCACTTTACAAGGCTTAAATGCCCAATGTTCATATGCGTCTTCCTCTAATGAACCTTTAATATGGTTTATTTTAAATAATTAACTATCTCTCATTATTAAAAGTTACGAAAAAATGCAAAATATAACTCTTGAAAGAATTTGATAATTGAATAAAGCTGAAAAAAAAAATTCTATACAGGTAGAAAATGAATCTCAGGAAATACAAATCAGAAGATATACTTATAATATATCGTTGGAAATCCGAGAATTTTAGTAAAAACAATATCTAATATAGAAAGTTGTAAAAGGTAATGAAGAGTGGCTAAAAAATATATAAATAATAACATGTTTTCAAGGAAATTGAATGAAATTTTCTTACTAAATGTAAGCTTTTAAAATTTTTTTCAAGTGTGAAAATGTATTTAAAACCTCCGGATTCCAGGCAATGATATTGTTTAAGATACTATTTCATTGTACTTGTGTGAAAGAAGAAGTGAAATATAAAAATATTTCATGGATACGTTTATAACCTTGAATATATTTACTGTAGTTTAATAACTCTAGATCTGACATTATATTTAAATAATTAGGTATCTATCGTCGGATTATTCCAAAAAATCATTATGTAACCTTTTAGAAAATTAAATTAGTCAATAATTTGATAATTTTTCTCTTTGCGATATTCCAACATACTCCACTTGCAATTATTTTGACAACTTTTGACTTGTCCATGAGAGACAATGCAAATCTCTCTATTCCGTTTTAGTAAACTTTGCAATGGAAAATAACAGTTTAATAACTAATAATCGTACAATGCATAATCAACCGGTAATATAATTAATAGGACTTTTGTTATTTTAATAGTATTTATGATTTGTTACCTGCAATCTTTTAGCTTTAGCTCAGTTAAATATGCAATTCAAAAATTTTATAATAGACCAACATGGCCAGAAAATAATTTATATTCAAAGTTGAGCTGTATGTGGAAGTTTACCAGAATTTTTGGTTTATTATTTTCAATAATGAACCATTGTGATCGACCAAAAAATTCAAAAACTTAACCCAGTTTCAGAATATGTAGAATTCGAAAAACGAATAATTTTATTTTTAAAGCATGTAACAATATGAAATGGTTGATTATTTGAAATTAAAAAAAAAAAATTAAAGTTATTTTAGAGAAAGAAACTTTGAAAAACATTGAAATCCTGTTAGAGAACAGCAATAAGTATAAAACCTACATTATGTTCAAAACTGTTTAATTTTGCAATGGCATATAGAATTTAATCAAAATTGTCATAGCCGTTTTAGAGAAAATTGAAAAAAAATTTTACGGCAAAGTTGCTGTAGCATCCCATGCACGGGCGGATCTAGGGAGGGGGGCTTTGGGGCTGAATCCCTCCCCCACCCAAAATGGTAAAACATGACCATGTTGTATGAAAAAAATTACCTTAAAAGTATTATTGTTCGTCTAATTACAGTCAATAGGACTTAAACAATCACTTAAAGGCCATTTCATATAGGTAGTTAGTTTCTTTCTTTCTTCCGAAGTCATTATCCTAATATATTTGAAAAAAAAAAATCTTTCCCTCCGAAGCCCCCCCTCCAAAATTGAATTTTGAATCCGTTAGTAATCCGATGCACATAGAAACCTTTACTACGCAAGTTCAGTTTCGCACAACTTTTTATTTATTAATTAGATTGTTAACATATTTGCACACATACAGGTCATTTTGCGAGACTATGTTATTTGGACTCATGGGGCTTCAAAACATGTATTTCCGTGGAAAACTCGGATTCGGGATTTTTCACGATCGCAATACTTTTCTTCACTATTTATATTTCATATATTTCAATTTTTAAATCTATTTATTGAATAATAATACAATCAGCCACTGCTGGAGGGCTATACGCATTAGGGCTAAAAGTTCTCATTCATACAATATATACAAATAATAAAGAAAGAAATATAAATATAAGAAATAAATAAATAATACTGATGAAAAAGGTAAATAAAAAAAAATAAAAACGTCTAAACACAATCATAACTATGTATAATATATACATTCGCCCAAGAATCTCCGAGCCACGCTTTTTCCCCCACATGTAGAAGGCAAAGCAAGACTCCGGAAGATCCCAGTGCCACTTTTCCAGCCGCATCACTAGTATTAGAAGCCAGTGGAGACTGAAAGAGGGCACTAGAGCCACAGACGCTCAGGACATGAGTGGAGAAGCTGGCCATTGCCAGGACTCCAAAGGCTTATTTACAAAAGATCTCGAGGCCACTGCCGTTTCAACCTTCGAGGGGGATGGTATGGATGCTCGGAGCTGGATAGGGATAGCGCTAGAGGATTGGGATGATGTCATGGACATATGGGATGTTAAGTTCATGGTGTAGGGTCTTGTTCGTGACATAACATGGAGCATTGACTATTGTTGGAAGGACTTTGGACTGGAAGGATTGGAATATTTCATATATAGAAAAGGGAAAGTAAAAATGTAAAAGCAAAATAATAAATTAAAAAAATACCTAAAATATTGGATCCTCTACTCGGATAGCCGACGATAGTGAGTGTGTGAGAATGGTCGCTCGTGACAATGACGAGAGTATCGTCTTTGATCCCAGCAGTTTCCAGTAAGTTCATCGTCGCATTGACTGCTTTGTTCAATTCGACGACTTCGTCAAGAGCTGCTCGTGCTTTGCCCAAATGGTGTGCTTTGTCTATTAAGCCTCCTTCGACCTGATAATGGTTAAGTGTTAATAAGTCATTGTTAATATTTGTTTGTTAATTTGATTAAAAGGAGAGCGGAGTAACACTGACTTCCAGGGTACTAGGTTCGAATCCGGCTTGATGAATAGTAATCACTACATCGAAGGAAAAAAAAGTGGCCTACAAAAATATTGGGTCAATGGGCCTCGTTATTTTGACAATTTGAGAGTGGAGATTTTTTTTTTTTTACTATGTGATCATATTATCTTACGATTCAAGTGGAAAGAAAATAGGTATTTACGAGTTTTTAGTACCTAATTAAATAGACAAAGTTTGTCGATCTTCAGATTGAAAACTCCCCAATTTTGAGATTTTCGTAAATGAAATAGTTGTAGATTACGAAGAGAAGAAACTATTTACGAAGTTTCAGCCAGATACATGGGTGGATCTACGAGGAGAGGGGGAGGACTTTCGTGATTAAGGCACCCTCCCCCTCCAAAATGGTAAAATATAACTATGTCTTATGAATAAAATATTTAATAATTTTCTTTAAAAGTATTATTATTCCTGTAATTATATTTAATAGTATTTAAAGAATCGCTTAAACTTTATTTAATATAGATAATTAGCTCCTTTATTTTTTCTTCCTAAGTAATTATAGTTATATATATTTAAAAAAAATCTTTGGAGCTGAAGCCCCCCCAAAAACTAAATCCTGGATCCGCTAGTGGGAGGATGTTAATAATTCGATAAATAGGGATCTGTACCATGGACTACACTAAAAACCATAAAGAGTCTTGGATTTAATACTTTGTAAGAAAGCACTGTTTCAATTACTACGGTTGTGCAGGGAAGTGATTGAGTGCTCAACCGCCATGTTTTCCTCTTTAATTAAGAGCATTCATTTTATAAAGGCTGCATGAGCCCTAGGAGAGTCTCCTAAAGTTGTTCTACGGCTGATGTAACATAAAAAATATAAATTATCTGCAACAGCTGAACAAGAAGTTGGGACCTTGAGCATAGGAGTCCTGTGCGTTACTCAATGAGCTACCCCGTTTCCTATGACTTAATTAAAGACAACTAATTTAAAATAAATTAATAAATAATATTGTACCATTAGAAAGAATCCATTTTCATTTTTCTTCAGGACTTTGACAGCTTTCGTCACCATTTGTTCTAATGAAGGTACGCCATATTCTGTCTTGTTTCTCAAATGGTCGAGAGGGAAGTGACTATTGTAGAATATTCCTGTAAAATAAATAAATGTTTTATTTAAAAAAAAAAAGTGAAGAATTTATATATGTTTTTAAAAATATTTTTTGGCATACCAAGTAAGTAGTCAGTATTTTCAGTGTCAACATTTGACAATTCCTTGGCATTCTCCACCACGGCATATCGTGCTCCTTCTGCTGCTTTGTCTTGCGCCCATTCGTTTATCAAATCCCGTCCGTCTGTTCTGATACAGTTGTCACCACCAGATAATATTGGGTCGTAAGTATAGTTTGGAGTGTTTGCTTTTAACACCTGTCTGCCACCACCCATAATTACCTAACATAGAAATTACAAAAAAAATTATATTTTATATTATTAGTTATTCATAAATTAATATGAAATAAATATAATATATAATCACCCCCCCTCACTCTTCCCCTGAAGTTTGCGCTTATATATACTGGTAAATATAAGTTTTCTATCAACTTACGTTGAAACGTTTTCCAGGATTGTCCTCAACAAGTTGCCTAGCAACATCTTTAGTTCTGCACCCAGCTGGTACCACAGAATCACATTCCCAATCCCTCTCTGGAGTGTGTGCAAACATGGCTCCTGGAGTTGCATGAGTTACACGAGTTGTGGTCAGGATACCTAGAAGAATTATTAATTATATATATTATTTTATTCAATTAAGTTCTACTTTTTGTCTTGGGATTTGCACGTAATCAATCTCAAAGTAATAATAACTGATAATCAACTTGGAAATTAGTTTAAATGTTTACAGTTCATAATCAAATTATATTCCAATTACTGAATTATTACTTATTGATGAATTTTATTTAATATAAATCTTCACCTGTTGCTTTCCCTGCTTCTTGCGCCAATGTTGCCAGTGTTACTAGATGGCTTTTTTCTACAAGACTTGCGTTACAATCAAGTCTTTTCACTGATACATCAACTCCCAAAGTTCCTTGATTAACTTTTACTCCAGTGTAAATCGCAGTTGCTGTGGCTGCTGAATCAGGTACTTGGTAATCATTTGTGTATGTCTGAAAATAATTTAAGGAATGTAGTTTATATATAATATTGATAATATCTACGCAAGGTGAAAGTATCCTCACACCTTATTTTGAAATGTCTCAATGATTCTTTTTTATTGACATTTTCTCTTTCCAACCACTACTAAATAAGAAATGTATTGTAATCGAGTCAATACTTTTAGATGGACAGTTTTCAACATATGAGATATGAACTAATAAGAATAATTATTCGTAAATTCAGTGAGCCAAAAAAAAAAAAAATAATATAAATTATTTATTTTTGCTTTTTTAGAAGACTACATAATTTTTATTGACATTTTCTCTTTCCAACCACTACTAGATATGAAATGTATTGTAATCGAGTCAATACTTTTCAATGGGTAGTTTTCAACATATGAGATATGAATTAATAAGAATAATTATTCATACATTCAGTGAGCCAAAAAAAAAATAAAATAATAGAAATTATTTATTTTTGCTTTTTTAGAAGACCACATAATTTTTATTGACATTTTCTCTTTCCAACGACTACTAGATATGAAATGTATTGTAATCAAGTCAATAATTTTCGATGGACAGTTTTCAACATATGAGATATGAATTAATAAGAATAATTATTCGTAAATTCAGTGAGCCAAAAAAAATAAAATAATAGAAATTATTTATTTTTGCTTTTTTAGAAAACAACCTAATTTTTATTGACATTTTCTCTTTCCAACCACTACTAGATATGAAATGTATTGTAATCGAGTCAATACTTTTCAATGGGTAGTTTTCAACATATGAGATATGAATTAATATGAATAATTATTCATAAATTCAGTGAGCCAAAAAAAAAAATAATATAAATTATTTATTTTTGCTTTTTTAGAAAACGACATAATTTTTATTGACATTTTCTCTTTACAACCCCTACTAGATATGAAATGCATTGTAATCGAGTCAATACCTTTTGATGAACAATTTTCAACATATGAGATATGAGTTAAAATGAATAATTATTCATAAATTCAGCGAGCCAAAAAAATAAAATAATAGAAATTATTTATTGTTGCTATTAATAAATCATTACATATCTTAAGAGATTCAAGTTTTAATGGATTGTGTCTTTATTTAGGCAGGATACTTAAACATCATATGGAACTACAATCTGATTTCAGATTGTTGTTATTGGAACTGAGATGAATTAAAATGATAATCATTCATAAATTCATGTTTTTAAATATTTATTGAGATTTACAACTGTATTAGTTAAAAAAGAGTACAAGTAAATTTAAATTGGTAATATGACATGTACGACATGAAGAGAAACTACCCATTGTTAGCACTCCAACAAAATAAAAAAATATGGAATTATTTATTTTTTCCATGAAGAAATCATTATATATTCTAAGAGATGGAAGTTTTAAGGTATTGAGCCTTTTTGAGGAATGATACTTAAATATTATGTAGAACTAGACTCTGAATTCAGTTTGTAGCTATTGGCACTGTCTCATCATAGATTTTTTTTTATGGGCAATTTATTGTAAAAAACTAAAATAAATCTATCTTCTGAAGATCCCATATTCTGTAGACAATGTGTTTAGCACTGTGATTCATTCTATTTGATTGATTTGATTCATCGGCTTTATTTATCCTAAACTATCTATTTTTTTTTTATTTATAGTTGTTTAAAATATTGATAAAATTAATGGTTACATCATACCTTTATTCCTCCTATATGGGGAAATCTTTCCCATGAAAGATACCCAGTCTCTCCCTCGGAATATATTCTTGCAGCTGTAACAGTATAGGGTCCCATCCCATCTCCGATAAAAAGAATGACATTTTTAGCTACATTAAAATTATGCTTCAGGTTCAAAGTTGCTTGGAGGTCTTCTACGTTTTTCTGTCTCCAGTAGCTGTCATCTGAAAAAAAAAAAAAAATCAATATATAATATATTTTTAAACTATTCGGAAATATATTTAAATATCTATGTATGTTCCAATGTGATTATCCCTAGAATATGACATTGCTTAAATAAAAAATAAATAAATATAATAATGTTTAAATAAAAATTTCATTTTTTATGACTAAATAGAGAGGGAGGAGCTCTCTCTTTTTGACATTAAAAAAAAAGAAATTTCAATACATTTTTGAAAATTCAATTGACTTAAGCAGTTTTTTAGTGTATTAATATTTTGAAAGAAACAAATTACAAAAAAGGAGCACCCTCTACGTGGAAGAAATCTCTCCCCTCTCTCTCACCATTTCGGGCCTAATTTTTTTTGAGCTAGCTACACCTTTCTTACAGAACCCACTTTATAAGAATCTGGAGAACCCGCAAGAAACTTTACTGACCCTTAAGTAAATAGTATAAAGTAGCCTAAAATATCCTAGATTTTTTTAAAAATTATTTTTATGGTGTTTAAAAACTTAATTGGATTTAAAGCCCAATAAAACTATATGGTTTTTAAATGGTCCTTGAATGTCTGACCAAAATATTTCTCAATAACAGCAATATAAAAAATTATCTTGTTTAAGTTTTTAATCTTTTCATCTTTATGGTATTGTTTTCTTGATTTGAATTGCGTTGAGATAATAATTAGTAATCTTCTTTTATGTGTTTTGTTTGTAAGAGTTTTGTCTCTTTGTAAACATTTTGAAAGTAATTAATCTTCATTCATTGCTAATCAATAGATGAGAATATCAGTTCGACTCCCAACTCAATTATTAAAATTAAAATAAATACCAAATAAGGCCCAGAAGTATGTAAACATATTTTCACACCCTAAAAGTCCCTATTATTTCAATTTTTATTCACATTCAAAGATAATAATAAATACAAACATTATAATAAATTATCATAGCTTTATTGTATATAACAGATTTTATTAGTTTCTTGCAACTTTTTCAATTTCTTATTTAATTCTCTGATTATTGTAATTTAATTAGAATTATTATTTGTAATTATTTTCATTTTTCAATAATAACCAATTTTATCTTTACCTCATATCAAATACGTTAGCTCACAAAAATATTCAGATTTCCTCGTAAGCATTAAAAAAATTATATGTTGAATATTTAGGTCAACATATTTTTTAACTAAAATCAATTGTGCGTTTTGTTATATAAGGTGTCCCGTAAGTAGAGGGAGATATTTATAGGAGGGAGATATTTGTAGATTTCAAGAGCTACAAAAATGTTTTTGTAAACGATGGAACGATTTTCGGCAGAAAAATAGGAAATTTGAGTTTTATGTTTTTGTAAATAAGCCACGTTTTTTTGTTGAATAGGAAGCGATAATTAAAATTTATCTTATTTAAATAATTAAAAAGTGCCTAACTGTAAACTAGATAAAAAATTTTTCAAAAGAATGTAGAGTTCATCATTGTTAAAACCATTTAAAGAGGACTTTTGAATGGCTAACCTAAGCTAAGTTCTGTTTTATAAAAAATCAAACTATTTCGTATCCTTTAACTATACTAAAGGTACACTAGCGGATCCAGGATTTAATTTTTGGGGGGTCTTCAGCCGATAACTTTTTTTTAAATATTTATATGATGATTATTACTTCGGAAGTTTAAGTGATTCTTTAAGTCCTGTTAAATGTAATCACATGATCAGTTATTCTTTTGGAGTTAATGTTTTAATATTTTTTTCATAAGGCATGGTAATTTATTTTACCATTTTTTTGGGAAACTTCAGCCCGAAAGTTTCCCTCTCTTCCTCTCTTACCTCGTAGATCCGCCTGTTTATAGTTACACTTTCACTTTCACATCAAGAAAAATTCCCTTGTTTAATAAGCTTAAGTCCATATTAATTAAGCTGAGAATAATTAGGAAAGAAGTTGAAATTCACCTTAGAATGTGTAAAAAAAAAATGATGTGATTTTATATTATATTACCTTAAAAGTACTCGTGTTTTCAGCAAAAATGACTATATACACACTAATGGATCCAGGATTTAATTTTGTGGAGGGGGGCTTTAGCCAGAAAATTTTTTTTTGTATAAATATATTATAATAATTACTTTGTAAGAAAGAAAGAAACTAACTACCTATATGGTCTTTAAGTGATATTAACTGTAATTAGACAAACAATAATACTTTTAGATAATTTAGAAATAATTTTTTTTTCATAAAACATGATTATATTTTACCATTTCGAGGGAAGGAGCTTCAGCCCGAAAGCCCTCCCCCCTTAGATCCACCCGTGACTATATTTTATCTAGTTGAATTTGATAGTTTTTGCTTATTTTCCACCGTTATTAATACTTTACAGTAACTAGAACCACACCGCTTCCATTACTATCGACTAAAAAATTGATTTAAAATATTAATCTTTTTCTTTTTTATTTCTTTATGACATTTACAACTGTATTACATAAATACATCGAGTAAATTTGGACATAATTGATATAATGACATGAATACACTTGCTGAGTAACTACCCAATGGTAGCACTCTAATGATATTACTACATTAGGAGATCACGGGGCCATCTTCTTTTCAGACGCCTCGGAGGGTTATCAGGAATTGAAGAGGAAGCAAGGTTAGAAACGAGAGGGTTGGGATGATTCTGAAGTTTATTATGGAAGGATAGGTATCTGGATTGGGCCAGATCTGAAACATAAGGAACATTAAGATCTTTATGGATAATTTTATTAGTGACAAAGTAAGGAGCATTGAGGATTTTACGAAGGATTTTGGATTGTAAGGATTGGATGCGAGAGGAATTCGATGGTTTAGTGGAGCCCCATAGCTCAACTCCGTAAGTCCAAATAGGTCTTATTATAGTCAAGTATATGAGTCTTTTGTAATTAATGGGAAGTTTAGAGCGTTTGTCTAGTAAGTGCTGAAGTATTTGGAAACGTCGAGCGGTTTCTTGTCGTTTAAGTCTAGTATGAGGATTCCAAGTTAGTCGTTTGTCCAGGTGGAGTCCTAGGTATCGGATTTGCTCAACAGGGATAAGTGGAGTATTGTTAAAGGAAACTGTAGGACAGGAAGTCGTTGGTTTACGATGAAGGGTAAATGTAATTTGGTGGGATTTATTGGAGTTTATTTTAATTCTCCAGTTCTGACACCATTCTTCTAGAAAATATTAATCTTAATAGTGTAATCAGATTATCAGATTTATCTTATCAATAAAGAAAAGCCAATGTCAATATCACAACAGGAAGAAAATAATTGTTTGTTTAACCCAGTTGTAAAATATAGCTACTGAAGTGCTAATCTCTGAGGGGGTCTGTAAAACAATTAAACATTTCTCCTCTGTTTGGGTTTGACTGATTCATTCACTGCATCAACAGATGTAGCATAAGCTCTACGATAATGTTACATTATTTGCACAGTTTTAAATCTACACAAACAGCTGATTACTTGTTTATGTAAATGTTATATATTTATATTTTAATCCTACATTGGTAGGCACAGACTTTCGATTTTGATTAAAGGAGTGGATAAAAAAAAAAAAAATGGAAGGAGTTTTTATTATGTGTAAAAATTCTACATATCTTATTATTGTGAAACGAACAAATATAATATTGAATATTTTATATAAATTTGTTTATATGTTTGTATAGTTGTAAGGATTTTTATTTATTAATTGTTTTTGTTTAACTTATTATATATACTTGAAAATAAATTAAAAAAAAAAAAATTGCGTCTATAACGTATTTGTTTAGATTAAACGCAGGGGGAGGGGAGACAGCCTTCATAACTTTGATATATTTCTAGAACTTTTTCGGTTAAAAATAATAATGTAAAAAAGTGAAAAATATCTTTGATTTTTTTTTAGTTCAACTAATTTTCCGCGGAAAATGTGATATAAAAATGTCATGTGAAAATTGAGAGGTGATTGAATTATGAAATCTTAGGATATGTTATATGTATATGTATATATATATATGTATATATATATATATATATATATATATATATATATATATATATATATATATATATATATATAATTGGTAAATGGTTGACTGCTGTGGATAATGAAGAGAAGAATAGTTGGGGTGGTCAGTCAAAAAAGAAGGCAAAAATAAATGATAATATTTATTTTTACATTTGCCGACGTTTCGACCTGAAGTTCAGGGCTAAGAAAAGAACCAGATAACAAGGTATGAGAAACATAAGTAGTGATGGTAAAAAAACAAAAAATAAATAAATAAAAAATAACAAAAAATATAATAAATAAAAAATAAAAATAAAAATAAAATAAATAAATATAAAGTCAAATGAAATTGTTAGAATAATGACTAAGAACTAAGAGATAAATAATAATAACCGTTACAAAGTGTGGAATGATGAAGTAGGCATAATCAAGAAGGATGACATAAGTGTTACAATGGGAATGTTATAATAAAATGTAAAACATAAAAAAAAAAGGTCGGAACGTCGGCATATGTAAAAATAAATATTATCATTTATTTTTGCCTCCTTTTTTGACATATATATATATATATATATATATACATATATACATTCTAATCATTCCAAAGATAGCGAACGTTAGGAATCGCATTTCCTTTAAACCTGTTAGAATTTTAAAAGGAAAGAAAAGAAGCCGTAAAATTGATCTTAGAATTTTAATATTTAATATTTTTCATTATTTTGAAATATTTAAACGTGCCTTTAAAGGTATATTCAGTAAAAAAGAAAATTAATCGCATTATCACATTTAAAATTCTTTTAAAATATCATATCTGACAAAGCCAATATTTACGTTTTAAATGTTTTACGATATTAATTACTGCTGTTCAAAATAAAATATCTTTTATTAATAAATACTTGCATGTTTGCTTCCTCACTTCCGAAGGTAGGAAAGCATTATTTTCATGCGAGAGGTTAAAATAAATTTGTGCTCAGAATCGAAAATTTGTATTCGCGTTTTACGTTTCAGGCATCAAGGATCAAATTTGGTTCGGTGTTTGTCTGTCTGTAGTCAAATCGATGTAACGAGCATATTACTTACAAACGTTTATCCGATTTTTATGAAATTTTTAGACATTGTGCGGGTTGGTGCCTAGATGGTCCCGTGTCAGTTTTATCCAATCCATTCAGCAATTCCAATTACGCACGCGCAAACGTATTTTTTTAAATATGCAAATATTTCAAAAACAGCTTGTTTGATTTGACTCAAAGTTGGATAAAAGATAGATATTTGTGAAAAAATAATACAGAGCCAATTTTATTTTTATGGGGTTATAAAATTTTAGATTTTATTAAAAAAGTTAATTTATACTGTATTGTTTAGTCAATTCCAAACGTTACTAGAATGACACTTATTGCCGTTGCATAGTTTCCGTTTAATTTTTAGTAAATTCAAATTAATTTTTACTCTGAGTTTGTAAAAAACTAAAAGAGTATTATTTGTTATTGTTTTAATTTCTATTGGAATTCAACCACCTCGTGTTGTCTTGATTTCACCCTTAAATATCAAAGCTATGTTCTGTCAAATATCAACTATATCAAATAAAAAAATTTCGAATATATCAAAGTTTTATTCTGACTGAATAAAATTATTGGTCTCATTAACTCCGAACAAACAAAAAAGTTTAATTTTTCTCATTGATTTTTTTTCCATCCATTTTACGAGTGAAAACATACATATCAAGCACATAACGCAACTGTTAGTGCAAAAGGTCGTATATAAAATTTTCAGCTTTTTTCTATTTGTGCTAAAGTTGACATTTTGTAATCTGCAACTAATATAATGAGTCTGCTACTATGGGCAATAGTATAGGGCAATTAAATATGAAATTATACTAATAAATCATAAAGAAATAATTAGTTGTTATGCTCTGTTGTAAAACACTCAATTTTTACATACTACCTTTTGCTCTAACAGTAGTGATATGCATGTTCAGTATGCACTGGATTTTTTTTTTCAATCACGCATCATCTAATATGCCATCTGCTATAATGAGGAATTCTTTCGTATTTTAGTATTCGTTGATAAACAGAACTCGTGGATATCAAACCCGTATATGCTGATGGATTTCTGAATTTACGGCTTCTCTCAGAGATTTTATTCTCAAATGAAAAATTTTAGATTTTGAAATATAGATATTTTTTGCCAATGAAAACGATGAGAAAGCTATACTGATCTTACTAGGCAGACGTTTTTTTCTTTTCACATAATATAACAATTCGCTTTCTGACCTAATATCACATACGAGCTATTCGCATTACTTTAGAAAAAAAAATTTACATATTATAATTTTTTTCAAAAATTAGGCCAATTATCACCAAAAATTTTATTGATACGCTATTTAATTCGACGTTTCGACCATACTAAGGGTCATTTTCAAGTCTTGATGAGTCCTCCGTTATATATTCATCATTAATGTCGCAAATAATATGTTCAGTGAACATTAAATTGTCTTGGTCTATAGGGGTTTCACCTACGTCATTTCTGGAGGGAGTACTGAACATATTATTTGCGACATTAATGATGAATATATAACGGAGGACTCATCAAGACTTGAAAATGACCCTTAGTATGGTCGAAACGTCGAATTAAATAGCGTATCAATAAAATTTTTGGTGATAATTGGCCTAATTTTTGAAAAAAATGAAACCTTAAGACACCAAAATTAGGATAAATGAATAGAAAAAATTACGAAGAGAAGAATAGTTGGGGTGGTCATTCAAAAAAGAAGGCAAAAATAAATGATTATATTTATTTTTAGGCACATGTAAAAATAAATATTATAATTTATTTTTGCCTTCTTTTTTGACTGACCACCCCAACTATTCTTCTCTTCATTATCCACGACAGTCAACCGTTTACCAATTAAGAAAAAATTACATATTATAAGTTTCTTCTACATACCCAAGTCCTCGAAACTGAGAACACTCCCTGAGCACGCCAGGAAGACCAAGAAGAGGAACATCTTCGGATGCAGCTGGGCCGATCTGAGTGGAGTATAGAAGCTAGAAGCCGTGGTATCTTATATTTATGATTCCCCTCTTCTAGGCCTGGCACGGGGACGTCTTGTCGTCGCTATTTGCTCATGTAAGGTAATTAAACTTTAGGATAGATTACCAATGGCCTTGTGAATAATTGTATTTGCAGAGGAATCACACATTTACGTTGATAATGGCGGCATACGTAAAAGCTTAATTCCTCGATTTCGAAATCAAAACACAAGAGATAAGAAACCATTGTTTAAGCTGTATTACGAAGGAATTGTTGACTTATGTTATAAAAGAATCCCTGTTGCACTTCTTGTTCATTCATAAACTATCCACGTTTTAGTTTAGGTATATTGATTATTAGTTTATTGTAATAAGTTCCCCATTTTTGGACAACAGGGGTTTTGACAACATCAACAAGGTTCTTATATGCAAGCCCACTCCTTGTTTCCGAAGTGAACAATATTTTCTTCTTATGTATCCGATGGCTTTCCAGCGATTGAAATAGGCTCGTCCCATTGCCGTTTCCAGTCCATGAATGCCCGAAAAGGGTGTATTGAAGGAAATGGGGGGAGATACAACTTTTGACTTTGGTACATTGTTTGGACTAGTAAGGAGATAAATATATTTAAAGTCCCCATTCCTAGGCATTAGGTGGTAAGCCTGATGTAAGGGGAGGGCGATTTTTCGGGGTTTTTTTCGCTACCTCGCTTAGTTTCCGAGATATTCGTCCTCAACTATGGATAATATTGAAAAAAAATTTTTGCCTTGTGTTCATTGCTGTTTTTTTTATTGCTTCGAGCAACATAATCAGATGAAGTCGGATTTCTTTTTTAATTACGTCTTTAATTCTTATTAGTTATGAATTATAATCATAAATTCCTTATAAATGTATTTGTTTGCTTTCCTACCTATACTAGGTAAGGAAAGTATGGCGATCTGGTCAAATTTCCGATATGCGGTTTTTGACGGATCTATACGTTTCAAAGCCCGTTTTTTTTAAGGTAATGAAATCCCGTACAAAACTATATACAAATCGTTCATTTCGGACAACTATTAACGAAGTTACAGCTATTCAATTTCCAATGTAAGATAACGGGTTCATATCCTGGTGTCAGAAAGGGGCACAGGCGGATCTACGTGGGGGGAGCGGGTTTCGGGCTGAAGCTCCCCCCAAATGGTAAAATATACAGAAAAAAAATATTAAAAACAACCTCTTAAAGTATTCTTGTTTGTTTAATTACATTTAATAGGGCTTCAAGAACCACTTAAACACCATTTCATATAGGTAGTTAATTTCTTTCTTTTTTTTTTAAAATAATTACCGTTATATGTATATGAAAAAAAATTCTTTCGGGCTGAAGCCCCCTCCCCAAAAAATTAAATTCTGGATCCTCTAGTGGAAAGGGAAGTGAAAGTAAGAAAATCTATTGCCCGCATCACACAATCTTCACTATTTCCTCTACTTTTAACAGACATTATTATTTGACAAAATTGCTATTGCAAAAAGTTTTTGATGCTTTAGTTTATCTAATAAATTGTACTCAAAAGTCTTCTTTGATTAATTTTCAGGAAAATAAATCTAATTAAATTTTTTTTGGTTCTTCATGACATGTAAAGATATAAAAACTTTTTTGAAATAGCTAGAAAATTTGATTGAGTGGACACACCAAATTTTTTATCGGAAGCTTGGTATCAGGATGATCCAGACTATTGCCACTGTTGATTGCCAATATGATAAATTGCAAGGCGATTCATTAATATGCCTTTAAATAAATAAATTAAATTTAAAAAAAAAAATCTGTTTATTTTGCTCTGTAGTACAATAAATATTTTTCAAAGATCTTTTTGGCGATATCAGAATGATGTCTTTCAGAACTTTTTAGGATATCAAACCGATAACTTCATGCATTTTTGTTTTTGTATAAATATATTAGAATAATTATTTTGGAAAAAGAAAGATAATAACTACCTGTATGAAATAGTGTTTGAATGATTCTTGAAGTCCTATTAACTGTAATTAGACGAACAATAATATTTTTAGAGATAATTTTTTTCATAAAAAATGGTTATATTTTACAATTTTGGGAGGGGAGGGGATTTCAGCCCGAAAGCTTTTTGATGTTTTAAAGATATCTTTCGGTATATCTTATAGCCAGATGTATACCAAGACATGTGTTAGCTATCTTTTAGATATATTTTTGCTGGTTGGGATATTAAATGGCAGGTTGACGCGCTCAGATTTAGGTCTCTTCCTCCCAACAGTTCTTTAATTTTGTCTGCTAATGGTTTGTACGTTAAGCAACCAGAAACAAATAATCCCTAAGCTCTATGTTGTCAGGGCCTAGAAAAAGACAATTTATTCCTTTTGATTGTTGGATTATTTCTATTTCGACACTATAAGTTTTTAGTTCGCGGTACAGACCCCTTTTTATCGAATTATTAACATCCTCCTGAAACTTCATTAATAGTTTCATCTCATCGTAACCTACAACTATTTTATTTACGAATACCCTTGGAATTGGGACGTTTGAAATCTGGAGGGGGACAAACTTTGTCTATTTATTTAGGTACTAAAAACTTATTAACACACATTTGTTTTCTACTTGGATCGTAAGATAATTTGATCAAAAAGTCGAGAAGAAAGGTAGCCTTCAAAAATATTGAGCCGTTTGGCGTGACCTACACCCCCAAATTTTCAAAATAACGAGATGATATAGGATAAACGGCCCAATATTTTTGTATGCCACCTTTTTTTATCCATTTTGTGATCAATTTATCTTATGATCCAAGTAGAAATCAAATGGGTATTTACGAGTGTTTAGTACCTAATTAAATTAACAAAGTTTGCTCTCCTCCAGATTTCAAACGCCCTAATTCTAAGAGTTTTCGTAATTAAAATAGTTGGAGGTTACGATGAGATGAATTTATTTACGAAGTTTTAGGCGGATGTTAATAATTCGATAAAAAGGGGTCTGTACCACGGACTATTTAGTCTGGGAGTACGTTTACAATACATTAGTACTGGTTATACAAAAAAGGTTATAAAAACAGCTGATATAAACAAGTTGTTAAAACACATATAAGATGAAAGTAGGATTAATTAAAAAATTCCATCTAAGCAAAATATATATTTTACTACATATTTGATGAGGTATATTTAAAAATAAAAAAATAAATCTTTTTAAAATCAACATTTATATTGCCTCCATATCCATTGTGCTTTACAATAGAATTGACAGATTATAAAATAAATATTAATTTTTGACAATATTTCTTACATTAGATAGTGCCTTTAATATTAATAAAAATAATAAATAAATAAACAATCTATTAAAGGCCATTATTTTTTTTCTATAAAATATAATCTAAAAAAAAAATTGTTAACGTATATTATTTGGAAAGTACCATAAATAGAAACACACCAAAACAATAAATTTCAACGATGTTTGTTTTGAAAACGCTGTCATAGATTTTAAATGACAGCTTCAAAATCTTATCTAAGCGTTAGATAAATTTTTGTGAAAACATTTTACAAAATTTTTAATTCCATCGTATAAACATTTCGAATTGTTCTGTTTATTACTTAATATAAAAATACTGTTAAATATATTATTAAATTTATAATGTTTATAGTAAAGTTAAAATATTATTAGAGCATTTATCCTGAAATCACAAAATTAAAAATTAAGTGAACTGATGAAGAAAACAAAGATATAAATATAATAAATAAATAATTTACAAAATTTAAATAAGTTTCAACATTTTTTTTACATGAAATTAGATAACCTAAAAATTAATTGCGTCGTAATTAGTAATATCACAGATGACATGATCATTGATGATCCTGACTTCCTGGCCTTCGCAAGAAGAATATGTTGGTTGCTATGGGAACCAATTCGAGAAGCATACTGAATCACCTCGTTGACGTAAGTCTGCTCGTGCATCCGGTGGAAGAGGTACGCATAAGGACCTGAAAATTTAAATTAACATAAATGTTATGTGCATTTTGTTTTCCCCTACCTTTTCGGATATACGAGGTTTTCCGGAGAATTACCACAAAGAAAGGGATATACTGGGTCGGCAAATAAGTCCTTTCGGTTTTTCTGTTTATTTTTATGTCACTATGATACACTTCTTATCTGATGAATTAATCCCTAAGGTGGGTTGACTATCCTGTTTGTAATATGTCAACAACTATATCTGTTAACTCTTTTTGAAACTAGCTTAGTATTGTGTTTGCTACTGCAATGTGAATATCAAAGAAAATAACATTCATTATCGCCATATTTTGTTGTATTATTTTCGCCCACATGAAATTGAAACAATGTTAAGGCCATTGTTGATCGAAATCCCACCCAATCAGTGCGAGAGATTGCTATGGCCCTAAATGTGTTGCACACAAGCGTAGAAAACCATTTGCACAAGCTCGGCTATGTTTCCAGGCTTAATGTTTGGGTCCCTCAAATGATTTTTTTTTTTTCGAAAATTACAAAAAATGTTATAACTTCAATACGACTTTAGCTATCTACAAGAAATTTAGCATGAATTTAGGGCCACATAAACTACACAAAATGACCTTCTTAAACAAACTACAAAATATAAAAAAATAATGGTGATAAAAAATAAAAACCCCTAAAGAGTTTTTGTTTACTTATTCCTTACGTAGTCATTAAATCAAAAAGCCATTCATAGAGCTTTGAAGAGCAATAATTCAACTTAGATATAATATAATAACATAATTTGGAGAACATCCCGAAGAGTTATGAATGATCAGAAGTCTGTTGGGTTCCAACAAGACAACGCTATAGGCCCCACCCTCCATATTCACCAAACCAATCAAGCGATTACCACTTATTCCGGTCTCTGCAGTACTCCATGATTGGAAAAAAAAATCCCAAAAGATACAGAACATCAAAAACCACATGGATCAGTTTTTTAACATTAAACTCCAGAAATAATATATCGGGTACTAGACGTTTCAAAATAACAACGATGTGTTCTTTAGACCACACGATAGAAGTGAAATCATCAACAAGGGGAGATTAATAATATGAAATATAAATTTTTTTGTGTGATATTTTAACA